CTATTGACACCTCTCAGCGACTTCTTTATTTTCACTTCTAGTTCCATTGAATATCATGTTAAGACAGAAGCATCAATCCTTGAATACAGTAACCTCTCACCACAGAAACAATATTTATCTAAACTAACCTTCCTGGCATGCCTAATCCTGTGCATTGTAATAACAACATATATATATTTCCTATGATGTGTCACACAGTGTTCTAAGCACTTTGCTTGCATTAACCCACTTAATCCTCACAACAACCATAAGTATGAGGCAGGTTCTGTTATTATCCTCACACATCACAGATGAGTAAACTATTGGTCAAATACCTTGTATCAGGTCACAGAGCTTGTAAATGGCAGAGCTGCCATTTGAAGCCATATAGGCTAGTTCTAGAACCCACATCCCTAACCACTCAATATGGGAAAATGCATAGAGGAGATACTTGCCTGATACTAAATATGCTGGTGGATAACAAGCTGACAGGAAATAATTACAGTCATAAATGTAAGTGAATCATTCAAAGGGTATTTTAAAATTCATTTGCAGAGTACTATTTAGTAATAAATGGCTATGAGAACCTAATAAAATATATTCTTGCAGGGCAGCCATGAAAAATGGGATGACTGTTTCTGAGCAAGGGTTTTAGGAAATGATTGAAATGACTCTGCAAAGCAGTGTGTAGTCATTGGCACATCATCCGAGTATGTACATTCAGAGATCAGTAACTGAGACACAGAGGCTCCTAGAAGGGGTTTGAGAATTACTTAGGAGGTAAAATTGACAAGGCGCAGTGACTGATGGTTTATGGACTAAAACAAAATGTGCTGTCAAAGTTAAGCTAAGATTTGTGGCTTGAGCAACTAGGTGATAATCAGAGCACTCACTGAGATTGGAATTCGGCAGGAGTTTCAGGTATAGCAGGAAAAGTAAGTTTGGTTTTGGTGTTTTAATTCTGAGATGCCTGTGAGACATCCAAGTGGAGATGTCCAGCTAAATAAATGTCTGCAAGATTCAGGATATAGATACAGGATAAATAGATCAATCAGATGCTTATCAATATATAGATAATAGTGAAATGAAAATGAATGAACAAATCCCTTGAATCATTAAAAGTGTACTGAATGAGGAAAAGAGAGGTCATAGGACAGAAGCAGTATCTAGGATATGTGAAGATGTGAAGGGTTTTGAAAAAGTGAAAAGAAATAGCCAGAGAGGTGAGAGGAAAATTAGTGAAGGATAATGTACTAGAAGTTAAGGGAAGGGAGATTTATTTTGTCAAACGTTTTTCTCAAACATATTAGCACTTTGTAGAAATATAATGTTGCTACTAACAATTTTCACATGATTTACCAAACCATAAAGCCAACTCTAGATATTATTTAATGGCCAATACAGAACTCTTTCCTGCCAGATTCTTATCAGAAATCAGTATAAGAGAGATATTATAAAGCATAGCTGTATCCTGTTTTATAGCCTTTCTCTTGAAGATGTTGATAATAGTGGCATCATTGAAAGCCTGTGGAATTTCTCCAGTTCTCCTTTTTTTTTTGCGGTACGCCGGCCTCTTACTGTTGTGGCCTCTTCCATTGCGGAGCCCAGGCTCCGGACGCGCAGGCTCAGCGGCCATGGCTCACGGGCCCAGCCGCTCCGCGGCATGTGGGATCTTCCCGGACCGGGGCACGAACCCATGTCCCCTGCATTGGCAGGTGGACTCTCAACCACTGTGCCACCAGGGAAGCCCCTCCATTTTTTTTTGAGACGAGTCTATCCATGTCTGGAAGAGACTAAGCACAAAAGAAAACTATTGTTTAGATTACAGGAAGTACTTATCGCTTTTTCTTCAAAATTGTATTTGAAGTTTTTGTTAGTCTTTATAATCATAAAAAGGATCTGTGATAGCTGTACCAAGGTCTGTTCTCACCACTGCCATCACTTATCACTACAAGACATCAGCAAGGATGGCAATTCTTTAAAGTTCTTTCCCTTCTTCTTGACTCTGAAAGAGAAGTGGCAACTTCTACAAATATGTGTTTAGATTCTTTGTGCACTATCCTAATGGCACTTTATTAATTCCTTAATCAATGTATTTTTTATTTATTCAATAATATTTACCAAGTATATACTGTTTCAAGTACTATGGTAGAGCTAGGGATGCAGATAAACAAAACAGAAATTGTTGTTGCACACATGGATAATGGTAAAACCTGTGACCAGAAGAAGGCTGCCAAGTCACAATGGCTTATGTTTCACCAACATTTATAATTGGTACCCTACAAATATTACACAATTTTTATACATCTTCTAGATTTATAAAGAGTACCCTAGGATAGTACATAACCCTCATAAACACTGTAAAGTCTTGGCAGTGGTGATGATGCCAAGTCACTAGCTCCCTATATCCCTTTAGCCTTGGTCTTTCCCCTCTGGTTTCTGGGGATAAGTTGAGTTAGATTCCATGAACTGAAATGTTACTCTTTGCATTTTAATGTACTATGCGCAAATCGTCTTCCCTTACTAGGGGAGTGATGGAAATAGAGAGAGACCCTGACAAGTGTCCAAGGACAAGATTGGTTTCCTTGGGTCTAAAACTAAGGTAAAGAATTACTACTCAGGAAAACTGAGTATAACAAAAGCCAAAGAGGCAACCAAGCAAATCACAGACAGCCAGGACACTCCAGGGTATAAATTCTAGGCAAAGCAACTCCAAGTTTCAAATCTGAAATTCAAGCGTGGTAAGATTAGACTGAGAAAAGAGCAAGATGCGTTCAGGATGGAAACAGAACTACAGTTGTGTGAAAACAAGAGAATACTTAGAGCACACCTTTGGGAAGAGCTGATGCATGGTGAATGGAATTAAGGGAATGGCTTAAAGTATCAGGAATCCAGTGGGGAAAATTAAGGTGTTGACCATGCATTTATGCTTCTTTATATTAGTGTCTTATTATCAATAGCTAGTGTTGGCAATATCACCCATTCATTCACTGGCTCTATAGGTATTGATTTGTGCAATGCATAGACATCTATTGATAATTCTGCTATGTAAATAAGGACATTGTTCTCTGGTGGGGTTGGAGAAGGATCCCTGAATCTGGGTGCATAGATTGTGCAGTGAACTCTAGGAACAAACATTCAATAGATGTAACTGGTGCTCTCGAGTTGAATGAGGTGGTGGTTTTGATATTGGTGATGTTTTGTCACACAGCTTCTTGTAGTTGTTGTCAGTCTTACAAAGCCTGCCATTTAACCATTTAAGAGACAAAACGTGCTTGCTTCTTTTTATATTTCTGAAATCTATTATTTCAAACCTAATGTGTTTCTTTCTTTCAACAATGACATACTCTAATACACACCATATTTAATGATTTATTTATCAAAAACATGTGTTTGGGGGGTAACACTTCTTAAAATTATGTCATTTCACAAAAATGAGAATTTACATGTAATATTTTAATACTGAAAATAAGTTAGACCCTTATAAATTTTGGTTTTACAAATTTTCACAATATTATACCTTTTCACTTGTGATTGGCTTCATTTTATACTGCCCAATGAGATTATTTAATTCTGATATAGTAGATTAATTTTCCCCATACTTTAATTTCTGTTTAATATCCCCCTTTATAATTCAAATTATATTTTAAAAATTCTTAGATATGAATAAAGATTTTGTTCTCCCTATATTTCAATAGTTTTTTATGGACACATTTAGGCCTAGATTATCTTCATTGTAAGAATTAAAAATAAGAGAAATAGAAGGGAACATTAAAATTTAATATTATGTTAGTGTTTGGAGTCAGATAAAAGATACCAAGTTGAGCAAAGAAAATGATTATAAAATCACATTTTAGGAACATGAATTTGAAGACAACTGCTGCTTTTGTGAGCTTACCTCTGTATACCTACAATAGCATATCAGCCGACTATCATCTCAGAAATATAACTCTCCTCTGTTTACAAATTGTGATCAGCCAGAGAAATGACTTAATCATCTATATTCTAAACACTGCAGATTGCAGTTAGCAAAGTCATAGTTACCTGGAGGGCAACAATGCAGCAACTGATATACCCAGACAAGGGAACCCAAAGGATAAAAAAAATTTAACATAGATATTATATATGAAATCCCTCCTCCTAAAATTCATATAGGCCCATTCTTCCTCTGCAGTATCTCTAATAATCAGGAACCTCCTGCCCGATGATTCTCTACTTTCAAATAAATAAAAATTCCATTATTTCAGAAAGGAGTCTTCTTTTCAAATCCCATTCACTTGGGAATATTCTTTTATCCATGATTATGTCTCTGTATTTTTAATCTGTCACTTTTAGTCAAATAGAATGTTTTCTCTGGAATATTAAAAAATAAAAGTAATTTAGTTTGTTTTTACATCCACTTAACCCTTAGTCTGAGAATCATAAAATTTTTTCCTGAGGTTTATTAGGTGGGTTATGTATAGTGTACATAGTATACCTCCCTTAGAAACATTAATAAGTATGGAAACTGAAATATAGCAACAGTTTAATATATCTCCATACTTTTATCAATCCATCTAGCTTGAAACTTTGAGAATGAGTGTGAGATTTCCCCAAAAGAAAAGTAGCATTTAGTTAGGTTAAGTGTCAAGTTGCTAGCTTACACTGTATAAAAGTCAATATGTAGCAAGTCATATTAGTGAATTTCATCTACACTGCTAGGAGGTTGTTGAACTCAATTACAGAAATGTGCAGAGCTTGATTTGATGTGTGAGGAGGTTAAGAGACCACAATCAATTAAAAAGAACACATGTATATCCTGTTGTGGGGAAACAGTTGTTATAGTATCCCTTGTTCAGTTTCTGCTTTTTTCTCTGACTTTACCTCTGAATATAAGAGAACAAAAGGTTTAATAATTCCCCAGTTACATTTGGAATTATTTTGTCAGCAATATCTAATAGGAAGACACACCATCTTTGTTTTACTTGAATGAAGCCTCAAGCAGCTACAATTAAACACGCTGTACTTTTTTCTTCACGTAGCGAAACCGTTTGAAAATGGACAATATTTGGACATTTATGGAATTACACGGGACCAGGCTGGAGAATATGAATGCAGTGCAGAAAATGATGTGTCATTTCCAGATGTGAAAAAAGTGAAAATTGTCGTAAACTGTAAGTCCCATAACGTTTTATCAATATAATTTCAAAGAAAAGATAAAACACCTGAAAAATACTGTCTGAAACATATGTTGCAATTTTTTAAGAGGTGGTCTATTGATAAACACTGCCTATTGGCAGTGAAAATGTTTACATGTTAGAATATTGATCAAATTGTTCATGTAACATCAATTGCCCCAAGTAATTCCACAATAATTCAGTTTAATGTTTAGATGGCAGTGTTTCCATTATCATCCTAGTCCCTGGCATTCTAAACTGTGGTATCCTTATCTCTAAAGCATCCTATACTCATGGTGTTACCTTCATTCTCATGGGTTTCACCTGGAGTGTATTCTGACTAAATTTAAGTGTGGAATTCCCAATCAAATTTGATGGACATGAAGTGTGCTATTCTACTTAAAGAGAAAAGCTGTTACTGTGATACTCCTATTATGTGGGTATTTAATTCTATTTAGTTTGGACAACATTGAGAAAATGAAGAAGTAATTTTCCCATGAACGTCATTAGTAGGAAATTAGAATATTAAGAGATACCTGCAGAACCATCAGTGTCATTATGTTATACCTTTTCTCTAAATATATTTCAAAACAGTGATGAAAGTCGTTTTTTCATTTATCTTATTTCATATCTTATGATCTCAACAGCAATGACTGCGATAGTCTTTACTTTTCAAAAACAATCCCTTTTAGTCTTTCTCTCAAAAATTTTCACATTGTTTAACTTATTCAAATAGAATATTTTGGGGATAATAGTATTTTACCAAAAGTGGTTTCAAACTATAGCTTCCAATGTGTTTTCCTCCCATTTATACATCTTTCTATATATGGCCATTGCTAATAATGAGTACATTGTATTGTACCATAGATCAGAAGGAAAATTTTCCAAATATATCCCCAAATGCTAAAACTAAGCAGTTTTTTCATATTAATATGAATCTTAGTTTCATGGGTCAAAAAATGGCTATCAAAACACTCTAGGCGGGCTTCTCTGGTGGCGCAGTGGGTGAGAGTCCACCTGCCGATGCAGGGGACACGGGTTCGTGCCCCGGTCCAGGAAAATCCCACATGGCGCGGAGTGGCTGGGCCCGTGAGCCATGGCCGCTGAGCCTGCGCATCCGGAGCCTGTGCTCCGCAACGGGAGAGGCCACAACAGTGAGAGGCCTGCGTACTGCAAAAAACAAAAACAAAAAAAAAAACACTCTAGGCAGTTGAGTGTCTGCCAGGGCAAATCATTGCAACCAACTAACATTTGTCAGTGACTAAGCTATACATTTGGAGTTGACTCTGAGCAAATGTGCATAATGCCAGAAGAAGGCAGTTTCTGGAGCAGAGTTTCTCATATAATATTCTGAGACAAACTTCCACAGAGCACCCAAGAAGCTTACTAGAAATGGAAATTTTCTGTGCCCCACCAGCCCTACTGAACCAAAATCCTTGAGGTATACGGCCTGGACTTATGCATTTATGATAAGTTCTCATTGAATCTCAGGACTCCTTTTGCAGAGGGTTACTGCTCATCCCTCTGGAACTCTCTGAGATTAGAGTTAATAAGCAAATAAAAATCCCTGATTATTTTATAACTAACCATGCTTATCTGAATATGAGTCTACAGATTTTATTGTTGGAGGGTTGGGAAAAGAGGTGAGAAATAGGAGTACAAGGGAAGTAATATTTTTAGCAGTGAGCACTAAGAAAAGAAAAGGTAGAATCAATCTGTCAAACAAGCAAGGCACCCAGCCTGGCAATGCAGCCTACTTTCAAGCCCCCAGAAACAACATATCTCTAAACTCACGTCTCCAATGGGGATACAATTGAACACAAGCTGCCATATGGATTTTCATGGGCCTATTCTCCATGTATAATCCTCACTATTTTTTGCGTTCACACTTTCTTTTCTATCTTTTTTATCTCTCTGACTTTAGTTCGTTGTCACTTATTATGTAATCTGATTCTCTTTTTTTTCCTGGACAAGTGGGTACTTTAGACTGATAAAGGTCAAGTAAGGATGCAGAAATTTGGAGAGAAATTGAATTGAAAGAAAGACACACCAACCAATGAGTCATCATCTAAAGGATTTGTGTGGAGAAAAGAATCCATATATAAAGCAGAAGGACAGAAATTAAGGAAACAGGTGTCGAGAACTATGAAGGATCTGCCACAATTTCATGGTTGCTGGCAGAAGACAGAGACAAGGGGCAGTTTATTACTCATAGTGATAGCAGTAGCCAGAGTATTGTCTTACATCCGTTCCCCAAGCCCTAATTACTACAGGGTGATATGATGAGGGCTAGCTGATGCCTATACACACAGTGGGTTTGTGTCATAGCTGAGGCTCCCTGAGCTTAGAAACTCGATTTTTTTTTGTATAATGGCAGCAAGCAAACCTACCCTTTGCCACAGAGGGAGAAATTATCTTTATTATACTGGACTGTAAACAAACCTGCCCTTTGCTCCACGGAGAGAACTACCTCTTCTATCTTCCAGGACTGTCCTCTATACAAACTTCCTTGAAAAGATTGTCAGGAACAAAAGCTGTCAGTGCCTCTGCTCACAAGATGTGCAGAAACACAAGAGACCCGTGGAGAATTGTCTTCCAACACAAAATGGAAGCAGGAAAGTTTGAAGCAGAGCCTAGAAACATTCCATCAGTTGAAAAGGGTGCTTCAGTGGCTTTTGCAGGGTTTTAGACACCTAAAAATCGGTAGAAAAAAAACATTGTTAACCAACTTTAACTTAAGAAGGAAAACCAGAAGGAAAAAGGGGAAAGTAAAAAAAAAAAAAAAAAAGGTTAAGGATGTGTTTATTATAGTCATAATACAGACTATGTTTATTAAGAACTAATTTCAGTTAAAGTACAATCATAAGTGGAAATGTTGGTGCCAACACAGTATTAAAAATACTAAGAAAATGGACTCAACAGGATTTTTTAAATGGTTTTAAACATTCAATGTTGTTTTCTGCTGCTTCTCAAATTATACCTTTGATAGCTCACATTTTCTTAAATGTGCCATGAAGAATTGTATTGAATACTGATTGATCAATTAAATTTACATCTCTTGAATCAATATTTTATGTAAGTTTGTTCAGACTTCTGGGCAAGATCTAAAATTTGCCTTAGTTTGGAATAATTTTATCACACGTATACCAGTGATAGTTAAGTAGCGTAGGTGTGTGAGTATAAGTGTGTATGTTCCTGGTTATGAGGAAATTTGGAAAGTATTAATTTTGTGATTTTACCGCTTTAGAAGCACTATCCATGGATTTTACTGAACTGATTTCCCAAAGGAAATTAGCCAAAACCTACTGAACAAACTTTAGTTTGTCAAAACCCAAAATTGAGCACAGTGCTCTATAACAAACACGGAACTTCACGTCCCATGATAACCTGAAGGTTCCCTGAAGATAGAATTATGTCAGGTTCAAGACAGCCCTTCTTTTCATGGTTATTAATCAATATTGATGGTGCATGTAAAATTGCAGTAGCTTTGTGAGTTATAATTTGAAGAGAAACTTTGTCCCGGTTCCCAAATGGGGTTCAAGATGAAATGTAATAAATTTTCATAAGCTCTGGTTGACTCAGTTATTCTGTAAGTCAATTTGAGGAAGAGATTTAGGTTTTCTGTAAGTTAGAAATGTTTAATGTTTTAGTATTCATCTAATACCTTTGCCACATTCATTATATGTATATATCTCATACATATAATAAATATCATATTTTGCCACACACTTTGTACTTATAGCACTTTCATGTGGATTTCTATTTAATTTAATTAAACAGCACTTTAGTGAAATGATTGGCATATTTGACTTATTTTGTATAGATTGGACTAGGTTGATTGAATAAATAAGTTCATTTTGAGTTATTTACGGAAAGCCTTACTATAGATAGTAAGATTTTATACAAAAGCTTGTTTCTGAGTAGGGAGATTTTGTAGGTGATTATTCTCCTTGTTTTTCTCTGTATTTTCTCTTATTCATTTGTATATGAATATATTCATGAATTTATGATATAATATAGTTATAATAAACATATGAATATGTACATTTCTTTATATATTTGCATATATATGTATAGACACACACCTACACACAATTGGACAAGAAAGATATTACATACTTACATATATATTACACATTTTTACATATGTATGTATATATATACTTACATATATATTACATATGTAAGTATGTATATATATTTCTTATCAAATTGAAAAACAAACTAAAAAATGAAAAGGAATCATGACAGTTATCATAAACAGACCTTGAGAAATTAATACACATACACACACATAACACGAGAGAAAAAAATTTGAACCAGTTGGTTAGCTAAGCCAGAGGGAGCTAGTGGATTGGAGTTGGATAGATTCTCTGTCTTATTTGCATTTGTATTCCATCCCTGGAAGCAGCCTAGAGGATATTAGTCCCATAATTTTTATTGTTAATTAAAAAGTGGAAGAATGAATGTCCAGAAAGTCCATGGGTTCAATTAAACTGGGAAAAACAGGAAAAGAGAGACCACGGTCTAAAAAATCAGTAAAGTTGATTCATGGAAGCCAAATCTAGAATCTGGAAAATGTAGATGGTATCATAGACTAATCAAATAACAAAGATCTCTATAGGGAAGCAGAATCCCAGATTTAGAAATCAGGAAAGCCTGCAAGACCTCACGCTTCAAAATGAATATTGCTGGTAAAAGTGGCAGGATTCTCTGATCTTGTGACAGGTTGTATTTTCTCCATTCTATTTATATGTACTTTTTCAGTTAAGAGTAACTCTTTTAGAAATGCGGACCTTATAGTCAGGTGTAACTTATTTGAACTCTTGTTCTATAATTTACTGGACTTTGAGACCTTGGGAAACCACTTTACCTCTCTGAGTCTCAATTTCCAATTCTGTAAATTTGGGGCAATAACAGATAATTTTCAGGGTTTGGGTAAGGATTAAATGAGATAATATACATATAGCACCTATCACAGTGACTGGCCCACCGTT